ATCTACTATACTATACTATACTATATATATATAGTATATATTAAGATATATATATATATATATATAAAGTATATTTTAAGATGTATACTATGTATATATAGTATAGTATATATATATTTTAAGATGTATATATAGTATATAAATCGAATATAGCTTATATATCTTTATTACTATTTTTTTTCTCTAACTTCTATAAAAAAAAATTTAAAAATACAAAGTTTCTGTTGGGCCCGTTTAGGCCCAGGACCGGCTCACTTAACCCGGGACCGTTAGTTCGTGGTCCCAATCCCGAGCCGGTTCTAGCAATAAACCCGCGAAGCCCGGGACCGTTTAGGACCGGACCGCATAGGACCGGGCCCGCGAAACCCACTTAGGACCGGGCCCGGCCCACTTGCCACCCTTACCTACGAGAGTAGAAGACAAATCACAACACTTTTTTTCATGTCTTAGTAATAATACAAGTAAAGTAAATGACACTACATTCTCATAAATAACTAAGATAGTAGAAGACTGACAAGAGCTTAACGAGATGACTAGTTCACCTCATAGCATTCACATCAACATTGGAATCAGGATGTCGCTCACCACCTGCCAAAAATAAATGATAATTACAACAAAGAAAAGAAAAGCAGGGTAGAACCAAAAGAACTTTAAAGCATCAATTTTCTCATCATTTATCGGTATATAAATTTTTTTGGAAATTCCAACCTGCACAAAGCAAACACCTTGAAGGCTTGAACAAGAAACAGTGCCGGCTCTAGGGGGAGGCCAATTAAGCAATTGCTTTAGGCCCCCCAAATTGAAGGCCCCAATTTTATGACTATTATTTAGTATTACATATATTGTAAAATTATTATTATGAAAAAGAAACTAAATTTATGTTTTCTTGTAATATGATAGAAGTTATTTTGATAAATACTGAATTTTCTAATAAAAATGTATTATATAAAAAGAACAATTTGATGATGTTATTGACAATTAAAAAGATAAAATAAAAGTCTCTTGTAGTATTTTTTAAAGTTGATATTTCTTACAAAGAGTTGATCAACGTTGTTTCAATTCAAAACAGACTTGAACTATTCGAAATACCTAATTATACTAATGCTTAACAAAGTGATATCATTATATGATAAAAACTTATAAAAATTATCTTGACCATGGATGTTAATAATATTGAAGCTTTGATGAGTAGAGTTATAAGATACCCAGTGCATAGTCAAAATAAGTACAAGATGGTCTATACACCACCTTAACAACAAGAAGAAAAACATGTAAAATTTTATTTATAAAAATTAAAGGCCTACCAATTCTGTTGAGTGGCCTCTGACAAGAAAATGCAGACGTTAGGGAGTGGTGGGACCGGGAAACACCAAAGTTAGGGAGTTCTTCACCAACCATGGCTGGAACATTGGGAGCTTCTCCAGGACACGGTGCCACAGAGAGCTTTAGATGAGATTATGCAAATCAAGATCGGCCGTAATCAAATCCAAGATCAAGCCATCTGGACTCCCACCCCTCAAGGATCCTTTACATGCTCCTCTGCCTATCAACTTCTCAGGAAAATAAGAGAGAATTCGCCTCAACTAGCCAAAATCTGGAATAATCACCTACCTTTTAAAATCTCCTTTGCAACATGGAGACTCTTGAAAGGCAGGTTACCACTGGATGACATTGTTCTAAAGTTTGGTACAAACATTATTTCTAGATGTTGTTGCAGGGTGCCATTGGATGACCATGTTTTTGCAAATAGCAATACAGCAAAGAAGGTATGGAATACTATGTCCACTCCACTGGGATTCCAGACCACGGGAAGGAACACTATATGCCATCCTAAATCAATGGTGGAGCAAACAGCCAAAAAACAATGTCCATAAGTTTCTACTGCAAATTACCCCAACTATAATATGCTAGGAGATATGGAAGGCCAGATGTGGCAAGAAATATGGTAAGAAGACTATTTCTGTTTTTAGAATATGTCAACAGGTTCTTTTTCAGGTTAAAGTTTCCATGGGCCAGAAATACAGTCAAATGAATTGGGACTGGACATGGAATACAGTTTGCAAGGTAGTGGAAGACTACAAAACAAGACTGAGGAGTGTTATGGTTCTATGGGAACCACCTGATTGCAATCGGTGGAAAATTAACACAGATGGCAGCTTCATCGCAAACTTAAGAAAAGAAATGGACACATGGTGATGGCCTTCTCCGCACCAGTACATTTCTTAACTAACAACTACTCTGAAGTGCAAGCGGACCTGTTTGGTATTCTTTGGTGTAGTGACCATAACTGTCAAGATCTTAGCTTGGAACTAGATTCTCTTCTGGTAGTCAACATGATTCTAGGGACATACAATTCCCCATGGAGACTTAAAGAAGACATTACTCTAATACAACAAAGGGTGCAACCGTGCAACAACATGGTATCAAGATCAAACATTGCTACAGAGAAGGGAATGAAGTGGCCGACGCCTTATCCAAACACGCTACTACTCTCAGTGAGCAGGTTATTTTCCTCAACGAAAATGACCTACCTACTAAGGCCAAAAGAGCCATCACTGTGGATAGATTGCAGGTCCCAAATTTCAGAATTAGGCCAAGAAAACACTCAGGATGGACTTTTGAGCCTCCTTAAATGTTAAAGGAAGAGCTACTGTTGAGCTGAACTCACATCCCAATAGAGTAGCTCTTTTATACTTGTAAGGCCTAGCCATTTATGTTTATGCTGGCACTGCTCCAATGGGAGGTTTTGGTTTAAATGTCCCCCTCCTTTGTACTATTTTGCTAATGAATAAATAGGGTAGGGGTCAACGCCAAACCCCCCAACAACACAGGAGATGAAAACCTGGGTGGATGGTTTAAATAAATAAAAAAATGCAGACTTTGCGGTTGAGAAAGACAAGTTGCAACCACAAGGGAGTTGAATGTTTTAGGTATAACATTATTTTGATGTGAACCAAAACTCCGATCCTACTAAAGAATTTTCCAAAGGGAACCTAATTACAGTACAGGAAAACAGGACTTTCGGTTACGATCCACGAAGTAGCCACAAAATCAAGGGCTTTTCGTGGCGACATATCTAGTTGCATGAAAGGTAAAGATTTTGAGTGGCGACCTGGAAAGTTGCCACGTATAATCGAGACTAAATTTTTGTTCTCCGAAAATGAAATATTTTGAAATATTTGGCATGGAAAGTTTTTGTGGCAACCCGATGAAAGTTACCACAGATAGGTATTTGTGGAGACCTAGTCCCTTCTTTTGGTCCTTGTTTCCAGTTAAGCTGGAATTTCAGTGTTCCTTTGTATTTGTTTCTGCAGTTAAACTTAAAAACTTTATGCAGTATTTTCTCTTCAGTATCTGTGCAGAAATGGACAAAAGGCTCCAAGAACACGAGTAGAAGCGGACAAAAGGATTTAAGAAGAGATGGCTGCTATGATGTCCAGAATTCAACAGGTAATGCAGTTTCTATCTTTATAGACATAAAGGCATTTATAGTTTCCATAAAAACATGATGTAGTCCACCTTTTTTTCTCTCCAAATTCTTGACTCAACTGGACTCTAGGGGATGCATAATGAACTAGAAGAGTAAATAGAAAGCCAAGAGGAGTGGTAGCCTCAGATTCTACAAATACTAATACCTTATCGAAGTTCAGCTTTAGCAAAAGATATGCAGTCGAATAACAACAAAGCACATCAGTATCTTGAACACTAATGCAAGAAGCTCTTCCAATGAATCATGTACTCTTTGAGTAAATTATAATCTCAGACTGTCTCAGTTGGACAAAAGTTTTTGTGAGAATCTGATTTGAGTTCAAAATCATTTCTTGGTAAAAAAGAAAAATTGACATGGGAAGAGAAAAGCTACACATTCTCTTAGTTCTGCTCTTAAAGAAATTGTTTCTTTCTTCAGTACTAAAGATCCTTGCCATCATCAAGAAGAAGAAAGTGGAGATCTTTCATGCGGTTTCAGGAGGGTAATCATGGTGTAAATGAAAAAAAATAGATTATGCTGCAGCTTTAACTATTACAAGGTTTAAGCTCCCTTAATCTACTTTTTTCTGATGATGGCAAGATTTTAGTACTGAAGAGACAACAAATCCTTTAGGAGCAGAAATAAGGGAATGTGTAGTTTCCTGGAGAGGCAAAGCATTATTGTTCATGCGAGATTTGTAATGTTTCTACCTGAACAACATCAAACTGCAGCTAAAAGTAATTCATTTCTTAACACAGAAACTGACAAAACAAAGAATATCACATATCACAACAGCATTGATTAAATGGAATCGTGTGAATTCTCTCATAAACATGAATATTCACAAAGTGAATTAGCCAACATACTTGTTGCTAAATAACTAAAGATCAGAATGCAGCTATTTTCATTCCTTCTCTCATTTAAGAATATGGAAAGAATGCATCATGTTGGTTGCGGCTGACAATGAAGTTTTGAGCAGTTATCTTGTTGGTGTAATGGATGTTGCCGGCAAGCACACACAATAATAGCAACATAAATTTTACAATATTAGTAACCAAGGCTTTTCACTTTGTACTTTTTCTGCAACTTCCTGATGCCTTTAATGAAACACTTTACTTCATCAAAAAAAAAATTACAATATTAGCAATACATTTTGGCAAATTAAAATATATTAGACCAAAATGGAGTGAAGTGGATAGTGATACTGCGGACCTCAGGATTGAGGCATAGTTGTTATATTTGTTGTGTAGCAAAATGCACAGGCATAAATCAATGAGTTGTATGCACTTGGTTTCAACAGATAAAACTTTAACACCAAACACTTACCGTGTAGTATATGTAGCTACTAGAACAAGCTACTAGAGAGTTTTTTTCCTACTTTTGCTTTGAGTTGAGGAATCTGGATACAAACCTCTTCCTTGGTGACTGCCTGCAACCGAGAAAAAATATATGTTGTCAATATTATTTGGAAATAGAGATCAAATTGTGTATTGGTTTTCCTAGAATCACAGAGTAAAATTGAGTGGTGAACCTACAGTAAAAAGTTAAGAGATATTATTTCATATAATATAATATAATATAATATAAGAGGAAAATAATTATTAAAAAAAAAAAGATGAAGGAGGGAGAGGACCTACAATGGAAATGGATCACTGACTTGTCTTTGACATGCAACAAAAGAGAAGTCTAAGATTGAAGAAAGAACAAGAACCACACAGACATTTGAAACCCTAATTTTATTTTATTTTTTCAGCGTTTGATTTGAGTATTTGGGACAAAGTAACCTTTGGAGACTTTTTGATTTGGTTTGTTTCTTTTTAGGTAAAAATAAAAAGAACTTATGGAGACTCGAACTTGCCTCAGCAGGCATGGGAAGTGGGCCATATCTGTGTTCCATTATTTACCAATGGACCAAAAATGCATTTTGTAATTGGGTTCCCATCTAATTATTGTTATATATTCAATAGATTTCTTAATATAAATATAGAGTGTGAGCAAAAAATACTGGGTTCCCGGAACGCATACATATTACTGTAGTTCCGCCCATGTAAGTAACAAGGAAGAAGATGCATATTAAAAAGTTTACCATCATCACTTGGATGGTTTCTTAAGCCTGCAAATTCTAATATCTCTGTCTCCATCAATTCCCCACCACGCCAATGCTTGAAAGATCTTTACAGCATACTCGTCAGCATCTCTGGCTATACGACACCACAACCCAGCAGCAAGTGATGTGTTCAGAGTCACATTTTTGACAAATTCTTACCTTTTATTCTAACAAACAGAAGAAAGCCAATTTACAAGGGGCAGACAGAAACATTTTTCTCTAAGAATAAGGCAATTATTTAAGCACTTTTTACTTACATTCTGTAAATTGAAAGTATCAATGGCCATGCGAGACAACTCGATATATCTTGGGATGTTCTCGAAACCCCGTTGTGGATTAATTGGAGCCACCGTACTAACCCCCAATGGCAAATCCACATTGATTTCAAAACCCTATTTTGCATAATACACGAACAAAAAGGACAAATCAAAAAAAAAAAAAAAAAAACTAGACAAGTAGAAAAAGCACACATCCAATGGTGTGGTCTAGTAGTCAATGAAGTGGAATGAGAACCATGAGGTCTCAGTTTCAATAAGTCTAGCGGATTAGACTAAACCGACACCTAATAGGGTAATAAATTTAGTCACATCACCCTTCATCAACAGATTCCTTGCATGAACTTACTGTTGAGTAGGAGTTCAAGTCTAAAATAAAGTAAAACTACAGAGACCTACACGTCGTCTAAAGTAAACTAAACCTAAAAAGACCTCATANAACGAGAAAGGTATGCACCTCGCTCTCATCCACCTGCCGAATTATATTCCTCCCTAAGTTTCCGGGATATACTGCGACCCCCGACATACATACCATAATCGTGATCAGAATCAGAATCGGCAATTGGAAGCTGCTGAAAATGTGAGAGAGATTCCAACGACCCCACTTAGGGAAAGTTTAGGAATTTTAAAAAAATAAAATCACTTTTTTTCAAAAAAATTACATTTTTTCTAAATTAGTGTTTGCTATGAAAATTTTAAGGGTTTGTTTGGAAACCCACTCGGTAATTGGAATTGATGTAATTATTAGGGTAGTAATTATGCATCCTAGTAATTATACAGTCTAATAATTACGACGACATGTTTGTTTGTCACAACGTAATTATAATGTAATTACAAGCGTACTATTTGGTTGGACAAGTGTAATTACACAGTTAGATTAAATATTAAATGAATTATCAAAATTTAAAAGTTAAAAATAATAAATATATGCCTATACATAATTTTTTATAAGTATAAATGATATTAGATTTGGTATTTAAGATGCATATTTTTTCTTGAATATACACTAATTAGTAATCATATATTTATAACTAATATTGAAAAAATAATTTATATATATATTTTCAAATTAATAGTATTTAGTTTAATTAATTATAAAAATTAAAAACATACGTTTTGTAAGAACGTCATGGAATGTATGTTTGATAAAATAAATTATTTGGCTAGACAAACATGCCAAACTAAGTAATTACGCCCAATTACACCCAAATCCTATTCCTAGGTGGCTTTCCAAACAGGCTCTAAATTTCACTTGAAGTTGAATTTCGGAATTTTGAAATTTTTTGAAAAATACTAAAAAATTATTTTGCAAAATTTTCACTTCAAATCACTCACAAAAATTCAAAAATAGCTCCAAGTTGTGTTCATGTCCCAACATAACTCTAATTTTTAAATACCATTTTCACTTCAAACAAAATTCACTTTTTTCATAATTTCACAAATTTTATGTCCAAACACTCACTTAAAATTTGTGATTCAATAACATTAACGTAACTATAATATTTTCTTATTAAAGAAAAAATAAAAAAATTGAATATAATTTTTTTAAAATATTTAAAAACTGCCATCCCTCTGGAACTGAGGGAGTATTATTTTTGCTTATAATATTATTATAGAACGAGAGTGGTTTTTTTCATTGATATTTTTGGTTTAACTAGTATATATTTGTTTTTTATATATACAAATATATATAACAAAAAGCTATTAAATCTAACTAATTTTAATTTCTTTGGTTTCATCGATATAGAGATGAAATGTAACTTTTTTATATTTAATCCATAAAAACCCTATTAAATCTAACTAAATTAACTCGAAATATACTGCGCGAAATCGAAGTGAAGGGGGACTTCTACTAGACTTATGGCTAGTGTAACATGAATGAACATGAGACACCAGCTACATTCAATTTTTCTGCTTTTGCGAAGACGGTATAAAATTTTAATTTCTTTCAAGAAGCAGAAGCAGAAATAAAAAATAAATTTTTTCAAGACAAAAATATATTTATCATAAGTTTATAGCTTTTAAATTATTCTTATTGTGATCGCCTAAATTTTGACTATATTTGAATTTTTTTACCACTTTTTAATTGGTAAATATTGTTAAAGCTTTTGTTTTATCTTTTTATACATTTTTAAGAATTTGTTTTTTAAAAAAGGTTATATTTTTAGATAATTAGTCTTGTTTTAATTTTTTTTTTAAAAGAAAGAAAAATTTTAAAATATATTTTATTAGTATATTTTTTGTTAGTCCAAAGACTTTCTATTAATAAATATTGAATATTTAGTACTTTAATCTTTTGGTTAGTAAGATATAGTATTTTGCACTATTTATCTATTATCTCTAAATAAATAAATAAAAATAATAAAAAGAAAAATGAACGTAAGGGTGGCACAGCGATGTGGCCTTGAAAATTTTGCATAAATCTTGGACATGTACTTTTTCCAATTGGCTACCCACTTTTCAAAAAATTCACATGGGATAGAAATCTAATTTTTCCTTTCCCCAATTTTTATTCTACTATATATATATAACAAAAACTCAAAAAAGGGGGAAGAAAGTCAAAAGGGGAGGAGGAAAGAGGGGATCCGAGAGAGAAGCAAAAAGAGAGAAAGTTAGATTTGGGGACAGAGAGCAGAGAGAGAAGAAAACGCAGCACACAAAAAAAAAACGAGAGTGATTTATATATATATATATATATATATATATATATACTATAAATGGATCTTATCTTTTTCCTGGAGAGATACCATTCATAACACTCATTTTTCCACCATTAAAATCACCTCTAAAACTCCATAACCCTGTAACTTAACACCACTGCCAAACACTACTACTTCTTCACAAAAGCCAATTGGGAGCTCAGCTAAACATCAACCCATTTTTTTTTACCCAAAAGCAGTCCCTAAATAAACACTCCAAACCCAGCAAAAAAAATATACTCCATAAATTATAACTTTTAAACCTGAAATCAAGTTAAAAAAACACCCAGCTATAGCAACACCATAAAATAGCCTTTAAATCATTGTTGTTATTAGAGTTTCGGTCGAGGTTCAGTCACCACAAAGATTTTTAACCACTGATTTCGGTTCGAAGCCGGCTTTGGTCTTTAAGTTTCAAAGGGTATTGACATCATAGTCTTTGACGTAAATGTCCACTTTTACTCTCATTGTAATTCTTCTATTTTCTTTAATAATCATAAATTGGTAAGCTTTATTATTAATATTTTAGTGCTTAAATTTGTGCTCTACTGAACAATGTCCTCTATGTTACTATTGTGTTAACTTGATGTGATTGTATTGTTGTTTAAAGCATTTTCATTTTAGGATTATCTCTATGCTTGATTATAGGAATAATAGGGACGTTATAGTAATATCTAAATGCTATACTTCTCCCCAATAAATTTCATAATTTGTGACTTTACAATAATCTCAAACTTAGGATTTGAACACTCATAAATATCGCTAGTATGCTTTAGGCGCGCAGTAATAAATTAATTTTCGTGATTTATGTATACGTTCGTGTGACATAATTACAATTTCCAAAATTGAAGGCAAGTTATGTGTTCGCGCCACTTTAACGGAACAATCTTAATAATAATAAAAGCGTTATCAATGGGTACACATACGTGTGACTCATTTCAAGATAATTCCATAACGCTATAATCAAGCAATAAAAGCGGACATAGGTAAAACATGGAAACCAATAAATCACAGTTCATCCAAATTAATTCAAGCCAAGTTTAAGTCAATAAAGCGACCGTGCTAGAACCACGGGACTCGGGGAATGCCTTACACCTTCTCCCCAATCAACAAAATTTCTTACCCGAATTTTATTTTCGCAGACCAATAATAAAAGAGTCAAATCTTTCTTTAAATAGAGATTTAAATAAAAGGTGACTTGGAATACCCAAATATCAAATTCCAAGTGGCGACTCTGAATAATAAAATAATCCCTACTTCAAAAATATCACTTTAATTGGAAAAATTCTTTAACCCACAACCATCCATAGCATATATCACTTTTTTGTGTGTGTGGGAGGNTTTGATTTATTTGGGCCTAATGTGCTATTTGTTCGCTTTTTACCTCTTTGATATTGTGAAACTGTACATATAAACTGTCTTCTCTCGCACCCCTCTAAGTCTTCTTGAATTAAAATTGGGCATTTGCTTGACATAGCCCACTTTCTTTGAGATAGCCGAGATGCTTGTCATCCGGTGAAGGATTTCAGTCACACATATTTTAGGCGGGGAGCACCACCAACAAAGCCGGAAAGCAATGTTACCGGTACGCTGACCCTCTTCGGCTCGAGTTGTCCGCTCGAGTAAGCTGGTCTAGATACCTTCTCCCCCAGGATTTAAACATAGAAGAACAAACCTCTTGCCGGATCCCTAGTAGGTACGTTTATTTGTATCACGTGCATTTGTA